TTCTAAACCCGTTCATTTTACATTTAATATTAGTTTTAAAAAATAATAGGAAATATAATCGACAATTATGATAAAATTAATTCAATCTTAACTAAAAATTCGCTCGTGATAATTTTGACTCCACCTCGTTACTTGATTAAATAACATCCATATTAGATAATAAAGGAATGCTTATTTAATTCATCTAAAAAAAAGTCGTGTCGGTAACAATTAAATTTCCAACAAAATTATTGGCCACTCGTATAACATTGCTTCAGACGTACCTAAATCAGGATTTCAGAAATGATGTGGGAAATCATCTTTTTGCATTACGTAACTCATAAAATGCGGGCAATTGTTCACGGCCAGCTAGTCATAATCGCTTATTTTAAAGTTTTGCAAAATCCGGATTTTATTACGACGGACGGATTAAATAATGAATATTTTATTATGCGGGATTCACAAACGTCGATTTATGATCCGCCTCATTACTTGGCATGATCACTTGACATTATGTGACTTCTAACGCACAGCGGTGCTCACCTTTCATCTACTAATAATAATTGTCCTCATTACTTCTTCGAGAGATCGTCTATAAGTTTTTTTGCGAATATTTTACTTTTTACCAAGGCAATCCGCTTTTTCTTCGTTATTATTACACTGTTATGGCGAGTAATTGAAAAAATTGTAAAAAGTCAAATTATTTTCAATTACAACTGAACAAAGAATACCAAATTTTTAGTAAAGCATAACTTTTAATCTACCTTGGTCAAGATTTTTATTCCGCTTAAAATACAATTATAATATAACGTTTATTTAATTGAATGAAGGAGTTAAATGATAGAATATATCACAAGTTTATCACACATTGCATTCATGAAATAAATATGTGAAAAATTATTTTGTAATAATAAATAGAAAATTCGCAACGCGCAAAATACAATGGTTACTTTGACAGTGCGTAATTGTCCTTTTGTATAAGAAATCAGTGCGATTATTGTGAACGTTACTATGTATGTAATATAATCAATTTGTCTTTTTAGCTGCATTATGCTCCATCTATTTTTTACACATATTATAATATATAACTATTTAACTATTATCATAATACAAATATTATAACACAAATATAATTTTAATATATTTTAATATAAAATTCTAGAGTTTATACTTCACATATGTATACTTATACATTCATCTATCAATTTCATTATATAATATTATATTTTAATTATTATGAAAAAGAAGTAATTAAAT